ATGTATATGTATATGTATATGTATATGTATATGTATATGTATATGTATATGTATATTAGACCTCCAATTCTTCTAGGACCAAACTCCATTTTCCTGGTTCTATTTTTGTTTTCATTGAAGACTGGCATGTGGTTTGCTTGGGTACTGTGCCATCTCAATACTGCCTCTAAATGCGAGGGAATATTTTGGGGAAGCAGTACAGGCCAGCAACAAACAGATTGTTTTTTTTATCTTCTATGTTTTCAGGGAGACTTTTATTACAGAAAATTTAACAAACTTATTATCCTAACTTCTATCTTACCACTTATTATTAAGCTTACACTGTTACTTATTCTAACGGCTATTCCTGAATCTTATTCTTATAAATCATACATAACAGTTCTGTTGACTGAATTTACACCAAAGTCTTTAGACATCATTTAACCACCTTCAAATTGACCTCTTTTGCTGTCACCTGGTGTTCTCAACCATTGCTGAAGCAGTTTCTCAGCCTGTGCAGAAGCGAGAAAAGCCAAGTGCCAGACCCGCTGCTAGAGTGGTAAAGCTGTTGGGCTCCACTTTTCCCTTCACCTTATTTGCTTCTGGTTTGCTGAACTTTAAGCTCGCTCTTCCTTTACTTGTCAGTTGCCTGTTGAGCTGACAGTTGCTTCACTCTGTTGGCTACATCTTCCTTTCTTTCTGTCCTCTCACACAACACAAATCTTTCTCCAAACACACTCACGCAGAGATAATCTGGAGCTCTCAGCATTTCCCTTTTATAATTGGAAACCAGGTGCAGTGCAATGCTTTTCTGATGGCTTAAGATCCCAGGGGAGAAAACAAAGGAAGGAAGAGGTCATGCTGGCCACTGCAAGGTTTCCTTCCATATCCATGTAGTATTTCTGTCTGCATAATTTCTCTTATAAAAAGGTACTGTGTGAAGTGCTACATATTGCTGGAAGAAAAATCACACCCAATTCCTCTCTGCGTTTTGGGAGAGGCCTGTAACAAACATACATAATTTGAAATCTCATTTGTAAATATTAGTCAAATGAGAATCAAGTGAAGAGTTGGATGGGACTTAATAAGGAGTGAAGAATCAGTTACATTGAGAAAGAATATTTTTTTCTACCAAACAGCCTGTAGTATTGCTTATGTTGGCTGAATACCGTGTTTCCCTGAGGTGCTTGGCCTTATTTTCGGGGAGGTCTTATTATTTTTGAGGTGCAGGAGGCAGCCAGCGTGGTCACCTCATGGCTGCTTCTATGTTACAATATTTGGGGGGGCTTATTTTAGCCATTGTACTCAAAAGCTCGATTGGGCTTATTATCAGAGGAGGTCTTATTTTGGGGGAAAGGGAGGGGAATATGGTTAAATAAGAAAAGAAGGTTGTTTCCAGTTAAGTAACAGACCAGACCACTTCAGGCTCCAAATTAGTGCCGCATTGTCCTTGCCAATGGCTTACTTCCAGTGCTCTGATGGGGCTTAGAGAAAGTGACATTGGCAGTGTCATTTATAGGGCAAGTCAGAGAGGATTTTGATAGTGTTTCATTTTTGTGACTTTTATCCCAAGTGGCTGCTCTCCCAGGACAATGACATTCAATTTAAGAACTTTTGGTTTATATTAATGTATTTATCTAGGTAACTTAAAGTAACAGCCTTACATTATTACACTGATTCTACATTCCCTTTCACCCTTTAGATTCCTTTGAATAGGAGGAACTTACTAGCAAGAACTGTAAATCCAGCTTGTCAGCCTCTGTTTTGCTGTTTGCTTCTCGGCTGCCATTGAAATGGGGAGGGGGGGCATGGTATTTGGGTGTGGGAAATAATCTGTACAGGAGGACTGAGAAAAAGGAGTTGCTCTCACCATCTACTGCGCATGTGCAAGGAGGGAGCTTCCCGCCAAGGCTAACTGTCTGGCATACCAACCTGATGATGATTTTTGAAGATGTCTCCCACATGACACCTGTGGGGAAATTGGATTGCACTATGGGCTGGGGTTACCAAGGGGAGGGGAATGGATCATGTATTGATATCTATGCTTGCACACGCTTTTGCTCAGATCCAGCTTTGCTTAGCTTCTATTAACTTATAACCAGTAAAAGTACTCTTAATTCTGAAAAATGGAGTTGAGTGGTTTCTTTCTTGGTTATTAAGTGAAGCAGCCCTGACACAGCGTTTCTGTATTATTTTGATTGGCTGCCATGGCTAGATAGATTACTAATAAATTCTGCCGCCTCTTTCACAAAATGCTGACTAATTACTAGCTACTTTAAGAATGCAGAATTTATAGGTCTGGGCTGTTTGTTGAAACTGAATAAGAATGAAGTGAATGTCATTTGTTTGTTTTAAAAAGGTGCATATATCATTCTGATCATAAGTGTGAGTGCCTTATATTCCAGCAACATAATCAATTATGAACACCAGTACAGGGTGCTACTTATGCCCTAAGGAAAAGCAAACTATTATGGCTTTTTGGAAACCTAACTAGGAAGGTTCCAATCTGTTTTCTATGTTGTTCTAGTAGAGAGGGCATAATGGAGAAAGACACCTCTATTTCTCTGTAGTCTATGATTATAAGCAAAGTATCTTTCAGGTTCATTATGAGGGCATACATATATCTGAAATTGCTAAGATTGAGTTGGAAAACATTGTATAAATAGGAAATAATTTCTTGAATATTTAACATCAATGCCTGCCAAATTCATAGCACTGGAGAAACTACTGCATTGTTTTTGTTTCAAATAGGAATGTAGTGTAAATTCTACACTAGTAGTTCTTATTATCAAGGACTAATAGCCCAATATAAAAGACAGCAGGTATTGAATATTAGTCAAGGGTAGGCTAACATTATGGTCAGTTTGGAGAACCTCCAAATCCCATCCCTAGCTGGCCACACCCACCACACCCCTGTCACTCCACCACGCCCCTCCCAGGAGTCTCCACGTGGCCCGTTTTGGATGTGAAGTAAGTGCATGGTCCGCCCGGGGGAGGCAGTTTTTACCCTCCCAGAGGCTCAAGGAAAGCCTCCAGAGCCTGGGGAAGGTGAAAATGCTCCATTTGCTGTGGTGCAGGAGGCTAACTAGGCCATGGCCATCATGGGCATGCCTACCCAACAGCCAAACAGAGAACCCGTTGCTGAAATTTTGGAAGCCCATCCCTGATATTAGTTCTTGGCTTTAACAAAATATAAGATCTCTTTTTGCTTAATACTCTCTTTGTCACCTTCCTAATGATGTATATTTATTATGCTAAGAAAAAAAATGCTGGATTTGATATTATTAACTTAACCCAGAAAGTTTTCCTTGAATTAATTTTATTAACACCTTTCTTTACCTTTGGACTATTTCAAAAATTAAGCATCTGCAAATACTCCAATGACATATACACACATATATAGGTAATTGATTATAGAAAGCATATCGAGTGAGAACAAAAGAAATAACATCTTCCTTATTTCCTCTTTTTCCTCTTCCCTAGGTGAAAGTTATGTATGCGCTTCCAATGAGCCATTTCGGAAAGTTGATTATACTAAGAATGTTAATCCAAATTGGTCTGTCAACATAAAATCTGGGTCATCTCGATCCTTCACATCTTTAACATCTGCAAAAAGTGAAATAAGGGAGAGCAAAGACTTCATTAAACCTAAACTGGTAACTGTTATACGCAGTGGAGTGAAGCCACGAAAAGCTGTGAGAATTTTGCTGAATAAAAAAACTGCTCATTCCTTTGACCAAGTGTTGACTGACATAACAGAAGCTATTAAGTTAGATTCAGGCATTGTCAAGAGAATTTGCACATTGGATGGGAAACAGGTAAGAAAAATTACTACTGATAATAATATAAAGTTAAGTATATTTGCAATTTTTAAATAGTGAATTTATTGTACATAAAGGCCAAATTCTTAACAATTGTAGAAGCACTTAAGATGCAGTTATTCTTACTTATTCTCCATTTATTCATTAATGTAGTAGGTGAGGAAGGAAGCAAGGAGAGTGAAAAGTTGTGGATTCTTTTTATTTTTACCAATTGTTTTCAGGTTCAAAATAAGAAAGTAGTGAAAATGGCAGATGTCCAAAGTTTAGGCACCTTTCAGTCAGCACTTTGTAACGTTTCCTTTGGAAGAAATTGCAGCTTCTAAACATTTCCTGTAGCCAGTAAGAGTCTTTACTCTTGCTTTTTAAACATCCACCCCTGTTACTTATAGAACTCTTCCAGAACAGAAAGATTGTTCTGTTTCCTTGAATGCAGAGCATGTTTGCTATTCAAGTTTGGCAGTTCCTAAGTCTCATTTCAAGGTTAGTTTTGTTCTGTACAAGTGTCTTGTGGGACATCAGTTTCTGGAGTATTTATTTATTAATTCAGTCATTCATTTAGAAGGTTATAGATTGAGCTTTCAGGAAATGACCATTCCTTCTTCTATGCTGAATTAGTTTTTAGAAAAACATCTTATCTTTTTAGAAATTTCTGAAGGCTTAAAAAAAAAAGCATTCCATAATTTCCACAATATAATCTACAAGGTATATTAGACATAGATATATTTTAATGCTATGAGAGAAAAATGTAAATCTCCTTTCAGCTTAGAATGAACCAGCCTATTCCCTCAAAAATTCCCTCAAAATGTTTGCCGTTGTCCCCCATAACATCTTAAGTCATGGATCACATTTTGTAAGACTTTGCAAAGGACTTGAAAAAAATATTTCAATAAAACTAAGCATGCAGTTTTGGAAACTGTCTCAAAAGCTTGTAAAATTTCAGCTACTTTAATTATTCATATAGAATCAAAACTATGATGAAAGTCTTGTAGAGATGCTCTTTAAAGTGAACCAGACATATAATTGTAATCAGAAATATATATTTATCAAAGGTTAGTATAATTACACTTAAAAAAAGAAATTAATGGGAAAGAATTATGAGCCACAAAATAATGTAGTTGTTAATGCAACTTTGATTTATAAGCTTCAGAGAAGATACATTAATACAGTAATATTTGCCTTAAAATTTAAATATCTGTTCTGAATTGTACTTGGTGAATGAAACGTGTTTTCTTAAAGATTGTAGTTATCTATTGCAATAACTTGCAGAAGGATCCATGTCTAAATGTAAAAAAAATATTCTTAACTATCCTCACATTCGACTTCAGCAAATCCTATGAACATGGTTTACTTAATCATAGCTTAATTAGGTAGTATTGTTCAGCACATACATTTCCAATTATTATTGAGTGTCCTGTACACTTAGACTTCCTTTCCTTTGTCTTCCAAACAGCATTTCCTCTTGCAAAATGTTAGTCCACGTCCTGTTTTCTTAATGTGAATTTTATCCAAGGCCACATAAAGCATTATATCTTGTACAAAATGGGCATTTCAATATCTTTGCTAGATTGATGTTTTATTGTAACTCACATCTGGATCTGAGTATGGTTTTCTTTTCCATTGAAGCTTCCTTTCCTTTCAAAGATGGAATGCTCTTCAGTATTTGTCTTTAAACAGTAGAACCTTGTTTTCATTTACTTGGAGATGTGCCAGATTCAGGAATCTATTATGTTTGCATCTTGGAAGCAATGCAGCTAGCTTGGAATGGTTCCACTTACCAGAACTCTAGAAGCAAGCTCTTAGCTTTATAAGAATAGACAGCCAGGATTACTTGGATTTAGCTTTTAAGGTAATTGAGTTGTGAGCTTCCTTCTTAAGCAAAATTTGTACAATAAAAATCTGTTCTGAATGGGGGAATATTCCAAAACATATAGAAACAGATCTAAAATATTAAATAATAAATTAACATGGTGAATATGTTTAAAGAATGATTGGAAGTCTAGTTTTAGTGGGAAAATGTCTAGGAACATTGACATTTTCTCCTTGCACAGATACTTTTTAAAATCCATACCTGTAAATAAATATTAATTCGTTGATATTACTGTTAGCCATTTTAATCACTTTTTAAAAATTCAGTTACTGCTAATAACATGATGAATTATTTTAAAAAGTACTATTGGCTGGACTACCAGTCAAAATTGTGAAAATGAAGAAAAAATAAATTGCTTTCAGCATCAACCAGTACATAGAAGTTGCAAACAAAGTATTAGTATATGTAAGTATTTCTGAAATAAATCAGAATCAGCATCCTTTTTAAAGTTAAGAAATACACTTTCTCAGCAAGTTGCTTGCCAAGAAATATACCACAAAAAGTAGATGAGAATAAAAATATGGGTACAGTTCTTAATATTTCTCCTTTATGTCACATAAAAAAAATCAGTGGCACCATCTGGTGTGGGATCTCTTATGGGCCACACTCGCCATATTTTACTGCCTCTTGCAATCCACATCTAAAACAAAATTCTCCTGTAAACTGATTCCAGTTGTTTTATTCTTTTTAATCACATACAAAAAGATGCTGCTAAAAAGACTGGCAGATAGAGCTTAGACTCAGAGTCAATGGAAGAACTTGGTTATTCCTTACATGGCTAGTATATCGAAGAAGCTAAAACAGATTTTGAAAAAAACACTACATACCTGTATTCTTTCAACCCACCAATACACTGAGGTGGAGCACTATCCACCTAAAGATCAGACACCAAAACATAAGAAGACTAATATAATCTGTGGTTGACTCAGCCTTCCATCCTTCCGAGGTGGGTAAAATGAGGACCCAGATTGTTGAGGGCAATATGCTGACTCTCTGTAAACCGCTTAGAGAGGGCTGAAAGCCCTATGAAGCGGTATATAAGTCTACTGCTATTGCTATTGCTATCTATTGTCTGCCTCCCGAGTCCCAGCTGATTTGGAGGGAATGGGGATTTTTCAGTACCCTTCCCCTGCCATGCCCACCAAGCCATGTCCACAGAACCAGTAGTAAAAAAAATGTTGAATCCCACCACATCTGCTGCATCATCATTCACCCACACGACTTTGAAGGTTCACAGGAATTGGGGTATGTCAAGACTTTCATGTGAATTGGATTAAAGTGAGGGAGAGATGCGTAGAGTCAACCTCACTTTCTCTTCCCAGATTCCATCTTGCTCCAATAGCAGGACAAGAGTCAAGACAGTTAGAGATGGGCTGGTTGACCAGGGCATCTTTTGTGTCTTGCTGTGTTCTTAGCGTACCACATCACTTGCGGAGACCACCTTCATGACC